TCTCTCGTGCTAGTTCTCTGCGTTGCTCCTGCTTGCTGTCGCTTTCGTGTCGATTGTCCAGCTCGCCTCAGTGTCTGTTGCTGTTTGCTTCAGCGTTTGCAGCGGCTTGTTGGAGCGCGTGGTGCCAATCGTCAAAATCGACGGGGGAACTGTCGACTAGCAAACTGAGAGTCAGCCTACAATGGCCCGTTCGCAGTGTAGCTGCTAGGACACTCACATCATGAGATCGAGTCAGATGTGGCAGCTAGCTTAGGGGGGGGCCCTGCGCCACCTTGGTATGGGGCACACAGTGAACCTCGTAAAAACCGACGGTCGGGTTGTTATAACGTGAATTTTGTAATCTACTGCGTGATATAAAGTATGTTTCGAACTACAAACAGGTGCTTGTGAATATTTTTCTCAGACATAATCCCAACTTTAATTGTCCCGCCAAAACTTGCCAGCTCGAAATTAATTTTTACTTAGGATATAATACACACGTCAAAGTGACTCTGGGGACACAAGCTTCGTCCCCAGAAGACGCGAAAGTATGTTTTTAGGACAGTAAAATTGAAAAGCGTGGCTCATTTTGTTTATGCTTTAAATGTGAGAAGGATGAAGCACAATAAAAGGACCCCAGAAGGGTGCGAAAAAATATGCGGGGCCTCTACTTTGCCGTTTATATTTCTATTAAATGTTTGATCTCGAGTGAATCCTGCCCAGTTTAGCCGGCTAAATCATAAAAGAGATGGCGCAGGGAGTACTGCAGAACTGTCAACAAATAACAACTTACGGTAGCATTTTCAGGATTAACTCCTTTTTGGCCGGGATCTAAGGCATGGTCAATGACAAGATACCACTTCAGTGGAGTTTAATGCACGACCATCCGACGAAGACAGGAGACAGTCTTTGAAATCGACCCCAATATTGGGCATAGTTAAAAGCTTTCGCCAGATGTGGATAGACACCGTTCCTCTAAGTTGAATGTAAAGGCTAGGCTTGCTAATAAAAGCGAAGAAGCGAGTTCCGGGAAACATTGGGAGGTGGCGGTTGTGCTCCTTTCAAAGCTAAATGTTAGGACTTTTAGTCCGTACTTGTATTATATTTTTAATGTCAAGACTCTGTGACAAAGAGACCAAGAAACTGACTGCTATGTCACTGTCTAAATACTAATGCACATAGACACCTTTGGACAACGGAGCCTCTCTGACAACTTTTTATGTTTTTATAGCTTCTCCTCAGACCAGGTTGATCTTATGATAGTCAATGCTTGGTCTTGGTACCGTGTTGGTAACACACCACCTCGAAGGCTGTTCCAAATTTACCGGGTGCGTGCATAAATGTGACGAACGGTTCCGTGTCCACCGGTACAAGGACCAGAACCCAGCGAAATTACATACAAACGTCAAGGAATTACTTTGGAAAAAAATATTTTGCTTTTAAATGAACCCTTGGAAGGATCCGATGACTTTATCATATTATACTGCTGATATATTGGCGTTCCCAGCAATCCAAATTACTGTCGTATGGACCAATATTAACTTGAAAAAAGCCTTAATATGGCTTTAGTATTTTAGAGAATATTTCGAATTTTCTCAAGAAACGTTGATATTATACCCACTAATGGAGCACCACAAATACTCCGGGCCGATGTGCGTTCCAACTAGGGAAGAAGGGAGAGGACGCCACTATCAGTATCCCTGAAATCATGCTAACTTCATTGTCATTATACTTATGTTCTTGCTAAGCAAGAAAATGCAAATAAATGAAGCCTTCGGAAATAAAATGATAGTTGTGAATTAATTAACGCTTTTGAAATAGTAAAAAATATAATAAACGTCAAGTTTACAATTAGTTAAGAAGTGTATACATTTTTTGGGACACCACGTTATATTGGGCCGTTATATTGGGCTTCAGTTGAATAAGAAGCATGATCTGCTGCGCAATTTACGTATGCATAAGTACTGAATTGTACAGTACAATCTTGGCAACAAGTAGAGGCCTTAATCTCAAATATGGAAAAGAGGGCTGCTGGAAATATAGATAGGTAAATCCAACAAACCGGGAATTATAAAATTCCGACCATATCAAAACTCCTTATTCCTAGCTGAATTAAGAAAGAATCCAAATTCCACACGATTCACAGACGGACTGCGAATTTTAACGAGCAGAACCTTCCCTTTTGAATACTTTATACAACTACTTACACCTGGGAGGATGCTAAACTTAACTGTGACCGGAGTTGGAGTATACTAACCAAATAGTACCTTCGTAGGATGCGCATAATACGCAATAGAAATGGTATAAACCAAAAATCCATGTTCTTTTTTCTACTCCAGCAGTAAAATAAACCTTCGTTGCCGCATGGATAGGGTTCAGACTATTATTTACCTTCTATTTGGTTCGCGGACCTTTAAAGTCGACCGAACGTCTTCAGATAAC